AAGTTTCCCCGTGCAAGCTGTCCGAACACGCCAAGAAGCCAACATCCACTGCAGCGTTAGCTCACTGTTTGCTCTGCTGTCAACCTGCCTCCCCGTGTCTTAGTGAGATCTACCTGTGTAAATAAAGCTAAGTGGAAAACACCCCCACTTCTGTCTGTGTCTGCGTGAGCAAAATTAGGACGGATCTCCACCAGATCACCTGCTTCATCTGACAGTGGCGAGAAGTGCTTTTGACTCAAAAGCTACCGTAAAATCCTGGTGACCGATATCCAACTTGAAACCGTTCTTTTTCTTGTTGGTTTAGGCCTTGTTCTCTAATTACTGACAAATTGGGAAAAAAAGAAGAAAAAGCTGTCAAACAACAACAGCTCCCTGTATTTGTCTCCCTAATAAGAGGGGAGAGGAGGAAAGGGTTTAATGTGAACCTCAAGCAGTCTGTCATTGTGCAAAAAAGTGTTAGATGAGACGAAAAATAATTCAAGGTTTCAGCGACGTGAAGGTCTTTTTGGCTGCTTATGTCAATTTTCAAATCTCTCCGGTGGTTTTTGGAAGAGATATCACAAGTTGGAAAAAAAACATTATGCAGTTGGAGTTTTGAAGTAAAGAACGGGACAGGAATAATTGTGTGTATTCTTTGTGTTCCAGGCAACCATATATCATGTTGCAATGACAGATAAAATGCTGATGTATATGATGTATATATAAAGTACACGAATAGTTATAGTTTAAAGCTCTGCAGCATTTAAAATCGGCTCCCCAGTTAGAGAGAAGTGGTGCGACTCTAACCCAGAAGCACGCTCCCTTCATAGCGACCACAGCAACATATGTGTTAATTGAAGAATATATAGTGTTTAAAGTTAAATAACAATGTGTACTTCTACTGCAAAGCACGAGTAGAGAGAAGTCGCTGGTTGCTTCGTCTACAATTACACTTATTTTGAAGAAATGCAGAGCAAGACGTTTTCTCTTATCTGCAGTTGGGTGATTTATTGCCAAAGCACCAAAAAGAGACAGAATTGTGTCCAATTTCTGGTGTCACGTTGGTTCTTTTATTATGTTTCTCTTTTGAACAAACAGTTGAGAGACCTACATATTGCACAGTGCAAACTGCGGACCTGAGTAAAAGGCCAAAATAGCACTAATAGCCCAGCTTGTAAAGTTTCTAACAGCCTGCGCAGCGTGCTGACTCCCTGAGAAGATGCCCTCCCCTCACTGCCTGGTGAACTCAAGGCTGAGCTTCTAAGGAGCAAGAAATAAATAAATACATAAAAATTTCCGTTTTATGAAATTATTGCATTTGTGACGCATTTCAGTCATTCCTTAAATGTCCTGTTTGACCTAATCTACTCCAGTCATATGTTTAAATGTCACAAACGGTTTAATTTTTTCCCCTCTGACCTGCAGAGTTCAGACTAAAATCCGATGTTACAAATTTACCCTTCAGTTGTCTTTAAGCGGTCATGAAATTTGCCTTTTTTTTTTCTTTTTTCTTTTTTTTTTTGAAAACACGCCAATTCACAGTTGCATAATACGCTCGGTCTGCTTTCATAAGCGCAGCTGGACTTCATTTCCTTTAATTTACTGCCTATTTGCTCCTCTGAAAGGACTAGTGAAGAAGTGAAAAACATGGATTAAACTGCCTGAACTGAAGCCAATAGCTGATATAAAAACACCATAAATCAGGAAATATTTTTGATTTTTGAAAACTGGCCAATAAACCAATGAGGAGCTTAAAGAGTACCCGGAAATGTAACAGAAGTTTTTTTTTTTTTGTTTGTTTGTTTGATTTTTTTACCATATAAATGCTGTGTTTGTGTTGAGGCAAAAACAATGTGCTGTGAAAAGCGAAAGCCAAATTTAAAACACATAAACACCGTTCTCGGTCCCTGCTGACCTGCTCCATCTGTTGACACTTTAGTGAGTCATGACATTTTTCTCCCTGAGACGCCTCGCCTCAAAAAAAAAAAAAAAAAAATCCCACCGGGTTAAAATTAAAACCAGACTTTGCTCTCAGGAAATCTTAATGAAAAACACACTAATACTGTAAATACCTGAAGGAGAATGGATTGTTTTTGGAAAACAGACACAGAACAAGAAGATGGAAGAAGAAGTTGGAACATAAGAGCCTGACTCATATTTAAATAAGATATAAATTTAAATATAATGAAGCTTTAAGGATATGGAGAAACTGCCAGAGAAATTAATTTAGAATATTTTAGCTGTATTGTCTTGGTTTATTAGTTATTAAGGAAATAAACTGTTAAACTGTATCTTTTTCTTAGGCACCGTCAGACAAATAATGACTGACTGAAAATTGAAATAGAAATAAGAAAAAAATAACAAAACAATTCATTATGACAAAATCAACTGGGTACTCTGGTTCCTACACAGAAATGTTATTCCCAAAACAAAAAAGTGAAAATGTCATTTTAGGAAACCCAACACAATTTTTTTTTTTTTTTAGGAGCAAGTTCCAGAGTGAAAATGTTAACCTTGTGTATTCATGTGGACAGAGAAAACACCTGTTTTGTGAAAACGCTGACATATTATCTCAAGTTTTTTAACGTGACCTAGAATCCCAAACGCATCACATGCGCCATATGTTGCAGCTGCAATGGTGGACTGCGCATCCGTCTTATAATTTGTTTCATAATGCTAAAACGACACGGAGAAGACGCTTGATTTCGTCTCCTCTCAACACAAAAGACACCGCTTGACGTTCGCCATGCTTGTTTTCTTGTTGGGTTCACCTCTAACCTCGTGTGGAAGCTTTAGGCACATGTCCAATACTTCATGCTTAGCGCCACTTACAGGCCTGGAGGAGTAAAAAAAACCAAAAATAAAAAACGTTTCGGGCCGTTTCTATGTGGAAGAAAAGATTTCTGGCGTTTTTGAAACCAGGAATCCATTTTCGGAGAAAACGCTCTAAGGTGTAAACTGTGCCACAAAAAGATATTACGGAAATCAAAGTTGACCTGCTCTAATTTCATAATCATTCGTAGAGGGAGTCACAGCTCAACGACTCTGAGGTCGCTAGGAAGAGTTGATTTAAACGACAACCGACTGGGAACAGAGTGAAACCAAAACGGATGAACTCAGATGTGAGATCGTAAACGTAAAGACAAACAGAAGACACTCAGTTCATTTGTTTTCTCTGGCGCCCTCTGCTGCTCACCGGTACGTCGATCTTGATGAGGGCGATGTCGGCCTTCTCGTCGATATCTTTGATCTTGGCGTCGTAGGTGGCGCCGCTCTTCAGCTCCACCTGCAGGGCATGGAGAAAAGTTCGTCTGACCCTCACCAAAATGTAAAGATTTAAGCAGTCAAAAAAACAACTTGAAGAAATAAAAACTACAGCACGATAAAATCTAACATTTCCTGTAAGAAAGGAAAGAAGCAACAGAATATTCACTGTTCTGTAGAGGTTCTGGACGGATGGGACAACACTCTTAAAGTCAGGAGTAAAGTCAAGGTGTTTTATATACGCTAAAGATGTAATTCATATATTAAAAGGTTAAAATGCAACTCGGGAGCTTCACATACCTTTACTCTGTGCTTATTGGCAACCACGTGGGCGTTGGTGACGATCAGCCCGTCTTCAGAAACGACGAAACCAGAGCCGCTGGCGACGGCGACCTCCCTCTTAGAAAATATCATCCTAAAGGGAAAATGATTCAAAATAACCTCAACAAAGCATTTCACACCTAAAGATAATCCTGTTTAACACCAGAACTTTCAAGAGAATTCATAACTTTAAAGATGAATTTTAACAGATTTCGTCATTCATGAATTACAAAGAGCTGCGAAAAATATCCTCGCCCGAAGCTGCAGAGGAATTTATGTTGCAACATTTTAAATTTCACGCAGCGTTCTTACTTGCGGAAGAGTTCAATATGAACGACAGCGGGAGCGATTTTCTCCACCACGTCGGCGATGAAGTTGTATTTGTGCCGCAGACTGTCGAGGTTCAGCTGGGCTGAAAGGGAGAGAAACACAGTATCAGTGCGTGGCGTCGCGGCCAATCAGAGGATCTCTGTGTGGTCCGGCCTGAAACGCAAACGACATAGATGAGAGGCGATAAACTCTGCTTTTGGGTTGCCAGGTTGGACGTGTAAAACACCTGGGTTTGGATCGCAGAGAACAGATATAAACTGCAGACAAAGAGTTTATATCTGACGTAGAAGTCAACGTGAACCTGAGAGAGCTTCTCCTTCTGATCCTTATAAAACAAAGGAAGAAATTCAGAGCATCAAAAGATATGGAGAGAGATTTGCAGACAAAGAAGAAGATTTGCTCCTGTTGTGTCACGCTATTCCTGTTTGACCCCAGAAGTAGATTTGTAAGAGATCCGCTTCTCAAACCGATGCTGTGGGAAAGTTTCCCCTTTCCCAGTCAGATCCCACGGGACGAACAATTAAACACATCCTCCTTTCTGTGTCGTAAACATCGAATTTAGAAACAGTAATTGCAAGCAGCCTGGACTTATTTCACAAATGAGCAAGCAAAACTTTACCAAACAGCTTTTAACATCGTTTCTGCTGCACGCTCATGTTTTTTTTTTTCAACCAACAAGAAGATTTAGGCCTATTGCAAAACTGCTCAGTTGTGACTTTAAATTTAATCCAATTTCCCTTCAACACAGAGTTTACCTCTAAACTCTGTCCATGTTAGGTGTTGGACATGTTGTGGAAATACATAAAACATAATCCCTGGGTTTATGAATGAAGTAACGTCAAATTCTTGAGGGAGACATTTATTTTTTAAATCAGTGGCTGAAATAATGTCATACTTAAATTAAAAAAAATGAACTGCTGTCATGTCAATAGGCTGTCCACTGAAGGCAGAAATGGTTGACCTGTGGATCCTTGGACCTTCCTACCATTTCAGGCTGTTTGCCACCTTTTTAATTTTAGTAACAGAAATGTTTTTAAAGTGAGGATAATTTTATTCTTTCCATGTCAGTCACCCGTCATCATTCTGAGCGCCATAGTGGCTGGTGACTTACAATGAGACATTTAAGATGCTCCGATTATCTAGACGCTATGCCTATGACATCGATTGTTCGACGAATGAACGGATGGATCAAGAATTATTTTGATGACAGAAAATCTAAAGATCTTAAGCCTGAAAGACAAAAATTGGACAAGCTGAGAAAACCTGGTCAATGAGGTCCATCAAGCTGAACTCATGGGGACGATTAAATGTTTCAACTGGTTTGTTATTAAAAGATGATTATTTTTTTTTCCTCTTGTGTCACACAATAAATGTGACCTTAACTGGGCCAGACAGACAGGAGTCCTCAGTGAGGACATTGTCTCTGCTCTTTTTCCTCACGGTCACAAGTCGGCAGGGACAAGTTGGCCGGTGCCCTGCAAATATTTAGGCTGTTTTCAGATCTTATCACAGGAAAGGCTCTCAGCTCCGTCGTCCTGGCAACCACTTCGCTTCATTTCAGAGGCGTGAACCTTGGGCAGCACAGTTGCTCCGTGCGACTCTTTCTAAACGACTATTTCTTTCCTGTTTCCCTGACCTGAGAAAATACAACTTTGCAGAGATGCGTTTGTTTTTATTAGAAAGACCTAAATAAAAATGAACCTCAACTCTCGGTGTGGCATTGATTCGCTGAATCATTTCCACCAAACACTGATTGAAACGTGATTGAAGTCAGGAACGCAAAGGGCAAGAAACGAGGCGTGAAGCTTGGGATTTTGGTCAAAAAAAGGGTGAAACTTTTATAAGGTACGATTTAATGTGAGCACCTGGAGCTGACAGCTCAAAAAAAAAAAAAAAAGCCTGAGGAGCCGACCTCCAGAGCTGCAGCAGAACGCCGCATTCTCTGCAGCAGAGCGTCTGGAAGAAACCTGCCAGTGTTATAGGCCGGATGCTCGCCCGCAGGATTAATGCTTTGCCAGCTGATGCAGCTTTGAAAGTTGAAGTGAAATTAAAGAAGTCATTTGGACAAAAACAGCCAACTAAGCTGCTGGTGTTGGTAACAGCTCAGCACGCTGGGAGGTCAGGAAAAAGCCTCTGACCGAGCAAATAAAACTGCCTCAGACGGCGAGATCAAGTGTCCCTGAATGCAGCACGGGGAGAGTTTTAAGCGTCAAATTCCGTAACGAAGATCAAACAACGAACTGTTTTCACAGAAGCAATGCTCTGTTTTCCAGGGGATCACTTTGGGAAAGAATTTGAACGCGCTGAGTCACCGTGCAAACGTTTGTTTCTCGAGTCCAAACAGCCGACAGGTCTGCACACGGAGATGAAGCGCGGAGGGGAGTAAGAAGCAAACGTTTCGATCCCCAGATCTGGGTTAAACAAACGTCTGACCTAAATCTGTCTCTGTTTAAGGAGTTACACAACCCAGCGAAGAGGCGGATCACCGGCGTCTCACCGACACCGTCCAGATTTCTGCCCCGAGGCCGTAAATCAGAAACGACTGCTTCGGATTAGGAACGGAGTCAAGGAATGACGAATAAATGTGGTTTTTGGATGAGCCGACTGTCGGAGCGGGACGGGGAGGAGAGGATGCACCACGATGCTTGGGATTCTCAGGAGGAGAGGGAGAAAGTGGAGCCCGACTTTGACCTTGATTTACTCTTAAGAATCTCTCTGCCTCAGCAGGTCCGGTGTGTTCACAGCTGCGGCGTCTCCGGGATGTGTGCGTCCTTCATGACTCGGAGCTCTGTGCGCGTTCTAGCCGCACAGGGGCAGTCACTCGGGGCGTCCTGGATTTATTTCAACACATTATGACCCTGTTAAGATAACATAGAAGGGTGTGTTTGAGAGGGAGTGAGCGCCGGAGCTGGAAAACAGCCCCCCCCCTCAGCCCCCCCCCCCCTTTTTTTTTCTGCAGTTTCACGGCGCCGCTCAGGAGATGGAGGACGGCCAAAGACCCCGGGAGAGGAAGAAAATGTAACAAATAAGCGATATTTTGCCGTACCGCCGGTGAAACGCAGAAACCGCCTCACTAAAACTCAGCAGCAAGAGAGGCGAAACTGGAGGAGAAAAAGAAAAAACTCAACATCATTTTAATTGTTTTAAACAAATGAATTTGTTACATCTTCCTTTGCTGCAAGTAAAAGCTGTAGATCCTGCAGTCGAGGTCTGACGCATAAAAAACATTTTGTTGTCAGCCACCGACTCCCCTGCAGCTCTGGCTGTGTGTTCGGGGCCGTCGTCCTGCTAAAGCTTTCCTGCTGAAGAAAAGCCTCCCCACAGCATGATGCTGACCCCGCCAGAGGGTTAATGCACGTAGCGTTTCATTTTGGGTCAGATGTGAGCAGTGCACATTCTTCTCTGGAAGAATGTGCACTGCAAGCACAAATTTTTGGACACAACAAAACTGACCAAAAAATTGCAAAAAATCTGCAAAACGGATTATGTTGCTGGTTTCTTTTCTTCTTGTCTTCTTCTTCATGTAAAGGTCAGATTTGTGGAGAACACAATCTCCAGCTGTTCTGCCAGTAGATTGTTTTAGTTGAACGGTGGGTCTGCTGAAATGCATAAGTCATGAGTCACACAGCTCTGCAGCTTCTCTGGTTCACACTCCAAGGTTGGGGTTTTGTTTCATAACTGCACCCAGCTTCAAACAACCTTTTTCCTCCTGACCTGTCTGCTCTGGTTATTGCCTCTCCTCTTCGTCCACTAGAGAGTTTTCTAACAAAAGTCGGAAAACAGAACGTTTGCATGAGGTTAGCTTACACTCAGATGGACTGTTTGTGAAACGGGTGATTTCCAAAGGCAGGCTGGCAGCTTTTTTTTTTTTATATATATATATATCTCGAGCGTTAGAGTAAAGTGGGGATTAAAACGAAAGCATGCAACGATTTACTGATTTGCAACATTGTTTTGAAATCCGTGCATCGCTTCATTCCAAGTCTCGGCAATAAATGCACTTGACACTTGTGGCAAAATGTGAACAGGAGTGTGTAAACTTTTGTCGCAGCAGTTACAGAGCATTAACTTCACTGACTTCACTTTCTCCCAACAAGTAGCTTTTTGCCATCATGCTACTTTCTGTTGAGTTATCCGGGTTTGTCCTTTCCACCTCTAGATTGCACAATGAAATATGTGCAGACACTCCAATTGATCAGTTTATGTAATTAAGGTCCCATACAGACACATTTCATCTATTATCTAAATGATTACATGGATATGACCTTCTTGCATAAGTATAATGAAAACAAGAGGACATGGGAGTGAATGATGTTCAGGGAGGTGTGTGACTTCTAATGGGGCTGGACCAGTTGGTAGAAGAACAGAAAATCAATGTACTACAGAAAACTGTGCCAGAAAAGAAGAAAAAGAAAAGTCAGAAATTATTTTTTTTTAAATAAGGGGGGACTGAAAAGGGGAGGTTGAAATGTTGGTGAAAATGTCCTTGTTGAAGACCAAAAAGACAAAAAATGAACTGTGAGCTGGGCAGTTTGGCCAAACATTTAGCTTTCACTGTTAATATCATTTTAAATGTGAAAACCTGGGTTTCCGTGCAACTTGGTTGTTTTCTTTAATAAAACAAAGGGTGAAAACACGGGAGTGCTCATTGAAACTTAAAAAAAAAAGAGAAAAAAAATCTAAATTACATAACATCCTTCTGCACCCCTAAAGCAACAATGATCTGGAGTTTAATTTAAATCAGATTGATGAATTAAGACAATTTATGAAAACAGAGTTCAGCGGCGAACATCAGCAGCAAAAAGCATTTAGGATAAAGCCGTCATGTATTACTTGTTATTGATAAAAACCCTTCTTTGGCTCCAACAAAAAACAAAACAAAAACAAACAAAAAAAACCCCACAGGGTTAAAATGATCTAATATCACTTGCTTTGCTTTTGGTCCTCAAGTAAACAGTGATTTAAATGTGTTTCAAAGAAAAAAGGCGATTATTCACCCCACATAGTTCATTTGTGCCTACTAGGTTCAAGCAGAAGTAACCATCAAATGTTTTAAATGAGGATTGTGTTATTTAATATTATGTAAGATGTATATGTGTGTAAATATCGTGTGTTCTCTTTGAGCCCTTCACAGTTGCAAAGTTCGCTCATACTTCTGGCCGACCCTAATTGTCGTCTATTTCCCTTTAGATGCAATCTGACCATGCACGCGCACGCAAGCACACACGCGCTCACCCTTCCCGCAGGCTCCTCTCTGGATGAAGATGACCGGCGGCTGCTGCAGCTTCATGGCCCGGTTGCTGACGCGCTTCAGCTCGCAGATGTTCCGGTAGGACACGCCGTCGCTGCCGCACACCGGCTCGGCGCTGCTGCACACGCACACGCCGGACCTGCCCCTCCGCCTCACGGTGGCGGACACCTCCACGCCGTCGGTCACCCTGCACTCCATGCCCTCTGCGCAGTCCTGGTCGCCGGGGCCGCCGCACTGCTCGCCCTCGCCGGACGCGCACACTGGGCAGCAGTTGCAGCTGTCCAGCACGTCTCCGGCCAGGCAGTCCGCGGGGATCTGCGGGCACTGGGACTTGTCGCATCTCTCCGGACAGTCGATGGCGAAGCGCTTGGCGACGCGCGCCTCGGACAGCAGGCAGGAGGAGGCGAGCAGCGCCGTTACGCACGAAAGAAAGAGAAGCTGCATGATGGGACTGTCCGAACTGGAACCCAGAGACTTGGAGAAGAAAGATACAGACAGTGCCTAATAAGTGAGACGCAGTGGGAAACTTTCACCGGCTGCTCCGGTTTATACAAGCTGCGGGATAAAACCTGCAGGTGATTGGTGGAGATAACGTGACGTCATTCTTAAGGATGGATGGGTGGGGATGGGGAGGGGGGTGGGCGAAGAGGGTGCATGTTAGCGGAGAATAAACGTCAAGCAGACTGAACTCAAGTTTTATAAACTGGAACTACTTTAAATTGCAACTTCATCTCTCATCTGAAAAGTGTGGAGTGCATTTGGATTGAACCTCCGCGAGTCAATACTTTGTAGGGAAATCGCAATTAAAGTCGCAAAGCGTTTGCAGTGTATCACTGAGTTTTTAACACCTCTGCTTTTTTTCACACTTCCAAGTCTCTGCTGGGCAACAGGATCCCCACAGCATGATGCTGACACCACGGTGTGTTACTGTGTGGATGCCGTATTTATCCCTTTCATGCATGAATTATGATGCTTTATGTCAGGTGTTTTTGTGTTTTTGATTTTCTTTAAGCATAGAAAAAAGGTGGGTAAAAAAATTGGTAAAAAAAAAAAAAAAATTTATAGGATTTTTCCCCCCTGTAATTTTCTCCAAAATACAAAATTGTTATTTGGAAAATACATCAGTAGTGACAAGTTTCTCTTCCATTATGGTCCTCAGTTCAGCTCTGTGCATCCTGCCATCGACTCTTAACCTGCTTCCCTGTTCCTGTTTAAACAGACATTTCCACAGCATCGCTGTATTTTGAGCAGAGTTAATTTCCCTCCTTCTTTCACATGTTTTCTACGTTATCTGAAGGATTATTGCTTCTTCTTTTTTTGCCACTCTGAGGTATTGGTTTACAACCTGTGCCAATTGTTTGCTAATCTTCTCAGGAGGTTTCTTGTTGTTTTTCCAAACGTCGGATGTATAATCTTTTTGTAAACAGTTAACAGCTGGATGGAATGGATCTGCTTTCTTGTTCCAAACGGCTGCTGACGCCGCAGGGTTTTCAATGCCACCGCACTCCGGCAGTATCCTGCCCTCTGATTGACCCGACCCCCCCTGGCAAAGCTGAAGAGCAATCGTCACATTGATTTTTCCAGTATAGAAGACTGGAAAGTTCAGTTGTTGCCTCTGCGAGGCCGTGCAGAATGTTCAGCATTTTTGCAAGGCGGTATTTGAAGGAAATCACCAGATCGCCCAATTTACTTTCTGCTGCTCATCTTCATCTTGTATTGAGTCAATTTTGTTGCTTTCATGGTTTTGTTTTGCAGCTGTGACAAATGCCAATATCAATTTGACCCTCAGCATCAGACTGTGTACCAAGTTTAACCTCCTGTTGTCAAATTAAAGGACATATAATTCATAAAGATTTGTCGAACTTCAATATAAACAAAGATTCTATGTTTCTTGTTCCAGTTTTATGTCATCAAATAGTTCATCAGATGTTTTTTTTTTAAGAAGAAAAAGAAGTGCCCTTGTGTACAATCCGATTAACAAAACCGTTAAAAATGTGAAATATTCTGCAGCAGGCGACAGCTTCCAGCATGTCTGAGCAGAATAACTCGGAGTCAAAGACTCTGGCGTTAATCTCAGCCAGGGCTGAGGCGAACCGATATGTCACACACACACACACACACACACAGCTGAAGCTTTGTTGTGGAAACTATCGATTGTTTAGAACCCCGAACAATCAGTGACAGTATCTGTGACATCACATGCGGCTTCGTGTGATTATTATGTCATTGTTGGACATTTCTGGACCAAACAGATTTCCCGATGACCTGCTGGCAGCCGGTGATTTGTCTCCCAGCTGTGGAAAAGTTTGTTCAGCCGGAGTTTAGTGTTCGTTTTTTTCTTCTCTCTCTCCCTTTACACATCTGCAATGTTAATTTGTCATGTTACATGTAAGCAACACAAAATTACAGATTAATGAGCTCATGCACCCTGTAGACGTGATGACGTGCGCCTTGAGAGTGTCGATGGGGAGGTTTAGTGAAGGTGAGGCAATGTGTTACCATGGTTTTCAAGATGGCGGACCGCCTTAGAATAAGAAGATGTATGTGTGTAAAGGTGGTGCAGGATATGGACTGGGGAAGTGAGAAATCCGTGCTGCGATGATGTTTTCCAGTGACCCTGAAACCCGCAGAGTGGAGAGAGAAAATAGCTGGACAGTGATACAGTGGTGAGGAGTGAGTTCAAGGAGGGGTTCAATCCCAATGCGGGATTAGATCAGAGATGCTTTTTAATAATAATAAAAATAATAATGAAAAAAAAAAGATATCCGTCATGAAAATCAGCCAAAATGTCTGCTTCAGCGAAAGCTAGGTGGAACGGTAAAGACGCAAAGGTCAAGTCAAAACACCAGACAGATGGAGAAGAGAAAGAGAGTTTTGAGCAAGGTGAAATAATACAGATGGTTGTCATGGGTGATTTTTTTTTTTACAGATGGGTGACTGTAAGAATGAAAGTGAAGGTTTCCAGGAGGTAAATAGAGGGAGTTGGTCATGGAGTGATGCAGTAGAAGGTGTGTGTATTTTTTATTTTTTATTTTTAAACTTTAGCTCCCCTGCTGGCAGAAGCCGGTATTTTCAGGACTACATCAACGTGTGTTTTTGCATTAAATCAAACAATCCATATGTAAACAAAAAAAAAATTGTGGCTGTAAAAAAAAAAAAAAAAAAAAAAGTCAGAGGCTTGGATTTGATCGGTGACACTTGCACAAGTTCCCCATATGAATTTTATTGGTTAACACATGGGACTATTTCAAACATTTTAATGGTCGTAAAAGACAATTGTTTTTTGATAAATAATAAAAAGAACAACCTTAGATTGTTCTTTGGAGTTAATAAATCCATCAGGGTTCATTAGCGACATGAGGAACTGTTTATCATCTGCAGGTTCTGCCAGCAGTTCAGCCTCTTCCAGTGCTTTTAGGTTAGCCGAGCATAACATGTTCCCTTTGGCTCACAGTTTGTTGGATGCTTTGTTGGCTTACACACAATTCTGCTGTAACAGAGAAAATTGTGGACAGGGCTTGGGCAAAGAAGAGAAAATGTTCTATTTTAATTCAGTTAGAAGCTTTTCGTGGAAAATAAAAGAACAACAAAGTTTCTTAATGTCCAGTTTTTGATTTTTTTTTATTTTTTTTGTGCTAGATCCAACTATTTGGCAGCTTACTGTACAAATCCAAAATTTTGTTAAAACCCTGACAAGAAACAGCATTTTGTTGCTACGGAGCTGGAGAAAAGCTCCTTATGCCGAACCTTGAAACTTGACTTTAAATCATCATCAACGTTAGTCACTGAAGTAAAACATGAGTCACGATAAACACCAACCGGATTAAACAGGACAAATGAACGAAGGTCTCGGTGGAAATGTCCTCAGCCTGTTGAACTCTCGCTTGGACCAGGAACCGTTTCTGTTTATGACGCAAAGACCACAGGAGGCTGATCAACTGCTCTGTTCTGGACTTTCCCAGAAACACCGTCCCATCTGAGTGAGACAGCTCAATCTACGTCCACTCATGCGCAGTCAGGAATAATATTTTAATTTATATGTGCATCCAAGACACACAGAGAGAAGAAAAGACAAAAAGCTGGATCACTGAAGACGGACTTGGCGTTGGTTTTATGGACATCTGCCGGGCTTGTGCGGTTCGGGAAAACGCAGGAGTGTGTTTGTCGCTGGGATGACTCAGATCTCCAAACAGTCTGCTGAGGGCCACAGATCTGAGCGGCGCTGCGGCGTTGTGTTTATCCCTGTGCATCGTGTTCCCAATTCCACAAAAACATCAGCAGTTTGTGCTGATTTATGGAAACTGAGACAAACGGCGATGGATGTGATGTTTCATCCTTTTCTGGTCAAAGTTACAGTGCAGCAAACCTGCATCCATTCCGGGTTTGCTGTGTTTTTAAACACTCCTTCTGCAACAGGTCAGAATCCAAACTGACAAAAAACTCAACAGGGATATAATAATCTGTCCCTCAGCAACTGACTTATTAAATTATTTCATCATATCTTCGCCTTCCTAAATCAACAGCCTGTCATTCTTTTGCCAAATGTGATTTTGGAAAAAAAAATCTTCAGCCCTTTCTTTTCAAAAGATGTTTTTGGCAAAAAGTGACTTAAGCCATTATTTTTAGGAAGGTGACAATAATTGAAGAGCTGTGAGGAAACTAGACCAAATATGCTTTTAAAAGAATTAAGAAACTATCAGGTAAGAGATAAGTGGATCTCCACCAACAAGAGCATAAAATAAAAGTAGGAACTCACAAATGGGAAACATTAATTCATCTCAAGTTCAGGGCTTGTGTTGCAAACTCGAGTGATGACATGCGGTGGTTGTAAATTTTCTTTACTTTCCTTTTTCTGAAAATACAAAACAACATTCATAAATCCAACGTGTGTCACACTATGGCTGCTACGTTCTACTGAGTTTACGCTCTTCAACACAGAAACTTAGGACCCAAGGCTGCCCTAAGCGCCTGTTAAAAACTGATCCCTTTCTAAACTCATTTCACTCTCAGCCAGAATAGTTACAAACATTTATATGAACGTTCAGCTTAACATGGACAATGCAACACAGTGCTTTTTAATAGCAAAACAAAACAAAAATATTCATAGGAAAGAGAATAGAATCGTATTTTAATGGAGGGCGCGTAGGGGGGCTCCTTGATCTACAACAACTGATCCCCCACACCTGCAACGATCAGGGAAATCACTAAAAACCTGAGAACTGCATTTTAGACTCCTCAGGCCCCATTTAGCATGGTCATTGAGTGGACCATGATCGTTTCTGTACAGGAAGGCACCCTACCGTAAAATGTGAGGCCATCTGTATGAAAGCTGAATAATCCCAAACACAGAAGTAGATTTTTTTTTTTTTAATAAAACACTTTCATTGTTTTTTAATATCTTTTAATAAATAGAAAAATGGACGTAGAGTCTCACCCACGTACACACACACACACACACACAACGGATCAAACAGCTCATGGTGTTTTTAAAATCTGCTCTTTAGAAAGATAGACGCAGGCACTTTACCCAACTTATGTATCAAAGGGAACAACACATTTGAAGAGTGAAGGGGTGCACAGTCATGCACGTGAGTTCATAAAAATTCAGTAAACAACATATATGTGTAGTTTATTTTTTTTTTCCTCATTAAAGTTAATAATATCAATACTAGAAAAAAACAACAACAACAAAAAACAAATACCCACAACCAGAGAGCCGAGAGGAGAAACGACCTGCGGGACTGCTCGAGTCCCAAAAGATTTCCACGCAAACCGACGGGGGTCCTGAACGCCGACGTGACGGCAGGTAAAGTAACAGGAAGTTAAGGTGAGGTGAGGGGAGGGGAGCTGGTGAGCAAGAAGGAAATGTTTCCAGAGTCAGAGTTCGTGATGCTGAAGCATTTCCGTGTTTCGCATAACTTCCACACTCAGGGCAGAGGCTGACATTTTTAGCAAAGTCACAAACGGTTTCCGCCGACCCGACACTGCACAAAAAAAAGAAAAGAAAAGAAAAAAGGTCCAGTTTCTGTAACAGAGGTTAACATAGGAGTGAGAGAGGTGCAAAAAGAGAAATTCACTTAAATAATTCAGGTTATATTCTGACACACGCCATATAAATACGAGAAACTCTGAGGATCAAACTTACTTTAAGAACAATTTAAACTTTTCTTTCCTTTTTCTGTTAGGTTATCTGAATGTGTTTCTGCTTAGTTTGAAGTCAAATATCTTTATTTTCACATTAACTGTGTCTCTGTGTATGAGTTCACATGCATGATTTCTGCAAATGTCGCAAAGTATTTCTTTGCATGTAAACAGTTTCTTCTGCTATGAAAATATATTATTTCTTTGTAACCTTATTCCTATTCCTTTTACTATATATTTTTCCTGTGTATATTTCGTTTGATCTTATTAGTTTAGAATCAAACAAAATAAAATAAATATATAGCAACCTTTTTTTAACACTCAGAATATGCAGATAAAGCAAACGCAAGTAAATAAACAAAAACAAAAAACATAATTGACATACTAGTTGTACACACTAGGTGGCAGCAGAGTTTCTGGATCACTGGAGTCTTACAGAGCTTTCTTAAGGTTCATATCCCTTGACTCTTAAAATCTGTATTTTATATAGATTTTATATTATATATCAACATCAACTGCATAATTTGAAGTGGAATAAAAAGAGTACAGTGCAGATTTTGAAACCCCTCGGTAAAATTCAGTTGTAATAATTGTCTTCAAAAGTCACCAAATTAATAAATAAAGTCCGCCTGTATACAGTTAACTTCCAGTAGAAAGGCGGCTGATGAGACTGACTCTGTTTGACCCGCTGAATTGTTTGACCTGCTGCGAAAAGCTATGCGAGTAAAGACCGCACCTTACTCTAAGTGCACTGTTCCTACTGTAACAGATGTCGGTGGTGGCAGCATGATGCTATGGGTTTGCTGTTCTTCAATCTGGACTGGGGAGGATAATTTGCAAAGAGGAACTCAGTTTGTAGATGTGAAGAGATACACCCTGAGCTGCGACCTTGGGATTCCACAAAGTATTCATTCAGGGGGGACTGAATTTAGATACATGCCACACTTTTCAGACTTTTACATTTACCGCCATGCCCCCTTTAAAACCACACATTTTTCTTCCACTTCGCTGCACTATTTTGTGTTGGACTATGACATAAAATATAACTGAGATCGTCTTGGTAACACTTTATTTGACGTGGTGTGCATAAGACTGTCACGAACACGAAGGAGTCTTCGTGAACGTTTACGACTGTTGTCATGAAGTGTCATTCGGTAAATAATGAGACTCTAAATGCAAAGTCGCATTGAAACTTGCATTAAAAGTCGATTAAAATTATAAACTTTGTATGAACATGGCGACATTTATGAAAACCCATTCATGTTCATAACAGGTGTTATGTCATGTTTATGACGGCGTCATGTCAGTCTTATGCACCCCGTCAATTAAAGTGTTACCAACATCTTAACGGGGAAGCTTTGCAAGACTAAAAATGTCTCCTTATCTGTGCCTGAAAAAAACTCAGCTACAAAAAAAAAAAAAAAAAAAAACTGTTTGATAAGGAAACAACACAAATTCATATCAAATCTCAACCTTCCAGATAACACACACAGGACTGAAGAGAGGTCTTTCAACACATCTCTCTGCGACCCTTTAAACTTTGGTTGTTTCGGAAGTGAACTCCTGTGTCGCTGAACTCCTGCTGAGAGCTTAAACCACTTGTATCATCTGTGTTGCTGGTCTGTGAGAGATATTCAGGAAGGCAAGGTGAAGGGGAACAGCAGAGGAAGACCTTGTAGGCGGAGCCACACGTAGGGGAAAAAAAAAAAAAAGAAAAAAAAAGAAGAAAAACCCAGTCCCAGGAAGTTTAGCAGGAGAAAAATTCAAAGATCAGTTGCTGTCACATCAGAGTCATCTCCGAGTCGGGCTCCTCCGTGTTCGGGCCACCGCCGCCGGCGCAGGGCCACTCGGCCTCCGTCACTTTGAGGTCTGCACCGTCTCCTGCAGAGAAAGGCGGGAACGCGCTGAAGGCAACGGCATCATCACGGGCTGGATTCCACTGAGGCGCCACGGCAGGAGGCCCAGGAAGTTGTCCTGGTGGCGAGTGTCCAGCGTCAGGCTGAGCACCCGCTGAGGGTTCTGGGTGCTGCGGTTCCGTGTTGAGGGAGTAGTAGAAGGTGGAGGCGGAGGTGGGAGAGGGAGGGTCACTGTGCTCCTGGGGAGACAAAGGAGAGCGGGACAGGAAGTGAGAGGGTGGAGAGGAGGCTGGGAATGATGGATGTGCTGATTAATGGACCAGACCGATGGATGGTTCTGTGGATGGATGGATGAATGAATGGATGGATGGATGGATGAGCTTGTGATGGGAAAGAAGAAAAGCACAAGACAACAGGCGTAAAGAGTTTTTTTTTATTTTTTTTATAAACTTAGAGATAAGAATCTATATCAAATCTGAGCCAAAAATCAGGAAATTTGTTCCATTTTAAGAAATGTTTTCTTGAATTTCATTTCCTTTTGTCCATAAATCTAAAGATGTGTCAAGATCATTAAAAACTAATACTATTTTGCAGTAATGTAATCTCACACTGAATATTTAGAAAGATTCATAATTAAACATTAAAACATTTAATGAATAACTGTTTTTTAACAAACTCATAACATTAATTCTAAAACTATATATGTTAAGACTTCTGTTAAACGACAATTTTGTTTTGTAAATTCCTACGAACTAGATTTTGTATGAAATACTAAATAAAAATTCCCAACTCCCAGTTCCCGCGGGGAGGACATATCTTGAACACAGAGCAGAAGCTGGTGTCTCCTAGCCACTCTGCAAAATGGGAAAGACAAGACAACAGTGCAATCCAGTGATGGAGTTCATAAGTTAGGTAATAGCCATAGAAAACACAGTAATAAATAATAATTCCTTAAGAATGATTTTTTTTAAAGCACTAGCGATAAGTGAAATAATCTCCCTTTTTCCATCAATATTAAGGTCTTATTGACTTAAAAACAAGCTCTTATTTCTTGTAACTTTTAGATTAGTTTTGTCGTATTTCAAGTGTCAATAAGATGTGTTCACTTGAATCTAGACGAAAAAATACTGGGTAAGATTCTGTGTTTTTGGATTTTTCTAAGCTTTCCAGTGTGAGATTATCCTACTGCAAGGATTAATTTATCTGTTTGGGTTTTTTTTTTTATCTGTCTGCACAAAGACGTGCCTTCGAATTTGTCCTCATCTTTAACTATTTTGCTTTGCAACTCAAGTCGCTACCACATTTCACTTCCCTCTGGGAATTACTGTCAAATTTAACTTATACAAACACTCTGAGATGGTCTCACGGCACATGACGGGCTCTGAGATGTAACGTTCATGCAGGTCCACGTACGAACGAGCGATGCTGCTGTTGCCGGGGAAGAGGAAAGGATGATGCAGCGGTTGCTAAGGAAGCTGAGAGGCAGCGGGGGCTTGGTGATAAAGACGATGAGCAGCAGTGGGAGGGAACAGGAAGCAGGCGGCGGGGCTCATTTGGGGAAAGTTATTGTGTCACTGTCACACCTCACTCTCTAGAAAACACACACACACACACACACACACACATGTACACATGTACAACAGGAAGGAGAAACAGAAAGACAACATGGCAGAGGGTTAGCAGAAAGAAAGTAACGGCTTGGTTTTAGGAGGTCGTCTGCAAGTCGGGAAGTCTGGAAACGTTACTCAGAGAGACGAGGAACCAGTTCAGAAACAGATCACAGGTCCAAATGTACAAAATATTTTAAGAAAAAAAAAAAAAAAAAAAAGGAGAACATGACCGTGTTGTTAACCTTTCATAAGCTGGAGTTGTGAAATACAGATATGTTCGACCACAATCCACATTTTCACTTTGTAATGGTCCATCTCAGACACCTCTGGGCCCAGAGAAGTCGGCCTTATGTTGAGGCTTACAAGAAATGCTTTTCTAGTAAGAACTGAATAAATTTCAGTCAGTATGTTGCATTATTGTACTTTATTACACACAACTCAATTTACAGACTAATGAGTTGTCTTATATGTGCTGGTTAGCGGGTCTGTAGAAACATATTTACCGAGACAAACGTTGATATGTTTCATTTAAGTGAAAAACCTAACTTGACCTAAATTCTAACTGTGAGGTTAAAGGTCAACTCCAGTTCATCCGGCTGCGGCGCTCTTGTTTTCATTCCGCACATTTAAAAGTAAGAACTCATGTCAAGCTGGACCCGTCTGGCGGAGCGTGGGGCTAAATGCCCGTTAGCGGGGAAGCAGCGATGGATGGTGGGGGCGGTGGGAGGTTAAAGGTTGGGTTTGAGGTGGGAGGGACACATACGTGCGGGGTTCCCCACTGCAGAACGGAGTATACCTCTGTATACACGGGCTGGAGAGCCGTCGCACCTGACGGATCTGGAAACAACAGTTTACAGCTGGACTCAGTAACGGAGAGGCAGAGAGCTCCTTTCCAACACAACCCACCTCAAACTGCCTCGCGGTGGTCGGATTCTGATCTGTGGATCCTAAACCACATTATGCTGCACTTGAAAAACACAGACAGTGTGGCCTTGTGTACAGAAATGCACAAGTAGTATAGAAAAAAACAACAACACATTTTATCAACCACATTTGTAGGAACAAGTTCAGCCATTTCCTAAATTTAAAAGCACAGAAGTCAGTTTGTGGTGGATCGAGTGGTCGAGTTTTGGTCGATTTGTGTGGTCGAGTTAGGAAAGAAACTCTATAGAGACAGAAAAAGAAGAAACTTCACAAGCTGTGAACGTGTGTGTGTGTGTGTGTGTGTGTGTGTGTGTGTGTGTGTGTGTGTGTGTGTGTGTGTACGTTTTGTAAATATGGCCTACTGGCCGTCTCACGCTCAGTGTTTGAACTAATAAATCAGAGTTGAAGCGTTCCTTTCGCCGATGCACTTACTTGTAACCGCCACATGGTGGCACCACTTTGCTGGCTCATAAAAGTCAGAAATGATGCACATTAGTATAGACTGCTGCGACCACTGTCTGTTCGCACTGCACCCACATTTAAGGAGGTTCCTGCACAGCTTCAGCTGACGAGATACGCACCGTGTTGGCTGAGCGCCCGGGCCCGCGCTGGGCAACAATCGCCCCGGAGACGGCCTTGATCCAGCTGTGCATGTCCTCTGGACTGTCAGCCTGAAAGACACAGACCCACAGAGTTGATTCAGCTTATTCCAGTGATATTATGAACTCATATTGTAGTGATTTAAATAAATCCATCAGGCGGTTCTGAGGAAAGTTGCTGAAGTGAGTCTCGTCCAGATGTCCCAGATGAATTCGGCCAGTGTCACCTGTATGAAGAAGGTTCTGGAGTTGGTGACCATCTCGAAGAGGTTGTCTCGCATCATCAGCTCGCTGCAGAACACAGAACGGAGCAGCTTTTGAACACCGAGGCCTAAACAAAGCTCTGATGGCTTCAGGTGCTAACTGACCTCTGTTTGCATTCCTGGACTTTATGAATCTCCTTCAGCGGGATAACTCTCAGTGCCTCCCGGTCCTGACAAAGAAGGAAATATGTCTCATAATCAGGGTTTCAAACTGAAGACTTTTTAAGACCTTTTTTTTTTTAATACCACCTTGAATTGAATTTAAGAGCAAAAAAAACTATAAATATAGGAGATGGTTGGAGAATCCTGCTGTATTAAAGTAAAGCATAGCAAAAACAGTGAGACTCTTGGGGTCTCACTCCTAGACACAGAAAAGTTAGCTAGCGGGCTGGCAAGGGTGTATTAGCAGCCAGTCACCGCTAGCATAAGCCGCCTCGAGTCACAGAATGCAGTGAAGATGTCTGACAGAAAACTCCCAGGAGAGAAAAAAGAAACATAGAATATACGAGATTCTATGAGGATAGTCATGCAACAAAATTTAAGACATTTTAAAGCCTTAATTTTAGATTTAAGACATTTTAAGGATGAACGGCCACCCTCTGTAAATGACGGAAAACTTTCCAAGGAAGGATTCCTGCACCAGCTAAAAGGAATTTCTTTGTTTCAAGCTACTCTACGTCATCTAGTTCCACTTGGGCAATGATTTTAGTTTGTACATGTACAAAGCTGGTAGAGACGAAGCCCAAAAAGACTTCCTGCTGTCACTGTGGAGAACAAAAACTCAGCTCTGTTTTTCCAAATCTTTTTTTTTAACACCAGTGCTGATTTTATCAATCAGATTACCTGATCTCAGCTGCCTCTACAAATTAACACACAGCCTGAGGGCACACACCCTGGGTGTGTCCACATGTGCTCCGACAGGTCCTGGTTGGGATGTCATTCGCTTAATTTGTCCACACACCGATCTTACGGGGAGGAATTTAGAGCGCGTGCCACTGCGTGTAGAGACAAACATCCCACCAATTCAAGGCAAAATGAGCTTTGAATTTAGCTAGCTAAGGTGTTTTGGCTAGTGTTAGCTAGCTAAAACACCTAGCTAAGCCCAGAAAAGGTTCTCAAGACACGACATATATACAAAGATACACGGTTTCTGTTTGATACGAAGGCAAAGAGCTGCCAGACCTGCTGCTGAAGGAAAATACTCTAAATTTCTTAATTTAAGATCAACATTTTCTCCGGTCTGCAGCTGAATAACAGCCGTCTGGTTCCAGCTTGATGTCAAACACACACCACCTCATCCCATTTTCTCACCAGGTCGGATTTGTAGTAGCTGAGCGCATTTTCATCCAAGATGAAGTACCTCCTCTTCCAGTTCCTCATCTGAAAAAAAAAGTGAAAAAAAAAATACAGAACATCAACACTAGTTTATCATCTGTTTCGTCATGGAAGTCGAAGAAGGTGTGTATCCGTCTGCTCTCACCACAGCTCCCTGTTTAACGCAGTATCCCGCCTTTATGAAAGACTGGTCCTGCGCTCCTCTGGACAGGAAGTACGGCAGCTGGTTCTGAGCCCGCTTCCCTCGGTCCGACCCGTTCTGGCCTTCGCTCTGCTCCTACAACGAACACCCACATGTTCAGGATTCATCTCAACCTGGTGTAACGTTAAGGTTCTGTTTAAGACAGAAGGGGAAAACAAAAAAACATCTTGCCGTCCCCGCAGCATCACAGAGCTGCTCCAGTGCCTCACTGTGGACAGGCGGTTCTTTTTAATGTATGATTCATTCTTCCTTCTCCAAAATGCGCATAGGTTCAAAAAGTTCAAGTTTTGACTCAGAGCTCCACAGAACAGAATCCTAAAACTTATCTGGTCTATTTATACAGAAGTGAGGAAACTGGAGCGGACATTACAGGTTCTGTTGGGTCTCTAGTGGTGTACATATTGCAGTTCAGGCATTCAGTACGCTACTGTTCCTTTAACTTTAAACCTGCAAACTTGTATATCTACTACTGTTTAGGACATTTGCTAGCAAACAAGTCCAGGTATTTCAGGTGTTTTCTTTGACCTCGCTTAGTTGAATTCAAAGCATCTGTGAGCTTTTTGCATTCACAAAAAGTGTGGTATTATGACGAATTTTATTATCAATTCATTTAAATTTGAGACTGCAGTATTCAATTAAAGTAGGATTAAGTGTTACATTTTGAGAAAATCCTTGCCATAATTCTATTATTGAACTAGTTAAATCGGCTCTTTTGCAGGTTCCTTGTTGTAATGAGCATAATTTGTAGAACAGTGTTGACTAAAATTTAGGAGTTGTATTTTTGAAATATGAAAAACTGCTTTAATTTAAGTTGAAAATTATCTAGGGAAAAACTGGCATTGTGATTTAATACTGAGCACAAAAAAAAAAAATCAGACTGCAGATGGAGTGAGAGAAAAAATAGGCTCAATTGATGCAACGATAACCATTTTTAATTAGTGTTAGCTCACTTTTCAGAATAATTTTTTGGTAGTTTTCTGGAACTTCCGGGAGCCATAACAAATTGCAAAAATAGAAAGACGTAAGCCTACCCTTATTAATACAACTGTAGTTGCCCATCAATGTGGGGAAGTTTATAGATGTAAAGTAAGTCCAGTTTTAATGAATTATTTCATAATATTTTTCTGTATACGTATTCAAAAAAAAACAAAAAAAAAACATGATGAATGAAAAAGAAAAAGACCAAACAGAAATCACAAATGTACTCATCTTCTCCATTTTGAATACGCCATACACGATTTTGAATAAGTAAAATTAATTTGCAAAAGAAAAGCTCCGCTTTTACTCTTGGGTCATTTTTCCCAGCAGTTGTGAAGCCCAGTAGGTCTTAATGAGACACAAACAGTCGAGGCAGCAGAGCTGTTGTGTTCTGGGTGAAACGCACAGCCGCATACCTGCAGAGACAAGACTAGACCTGCTGCTGATAGACAACGGCTCCGACTGGGGAAAGCGTTACCTGCGTGGCTGTGATGATTGGAACGCCACCTATGATCTCCGTTTTGTAAGAGACCTGCTTCATAGCGCCGAGGGCTTCCTGCGGGGTCTCCACATAGGCGGCCTGGCTCTCTCCAGACTTTGGCACCTGAAACGCAACGAGACAGAAACGCCTCAGACCCGACTCGGGAGATCAGAACCGAGCCGTGGAGCCGAGCTAGGTTTTATTAGCCTTCCAGACATTAAAAAAAAAAAAGTAAAAGCAGTAAAATTACAACGGGGTGAGGTTTGTTGAGTCACCCATTCGTCATCTTTCGGTCCGCCTGCAGCAGCAGTTTCTAACGGAGCTGAAATATTGTTAATAATATTGCGCATACTTGACCAACTATCTGTAACATGCACTCATATGTGAAATGTGTGCTTCAATTAGTTTTTTTTTTGTCAGATTAGAAGTACTTTTCAAAACTAAATCAGGAAATAAAAGATTAAAAATATTCTTTCCTAATTTGATGTGATATTCTAGTTCTAGAATTACCTGTTTCCAGTGAAAAGTCATCACAATTAAGGCTTGAAAATGTCGTTTAAATGCAGGGGGAGCTTTAATTCTGGATGATGTTAACGACTTCCCTTCTCTAGATGTGTTTTGAGGAGGGAAAACAACTTGAGATTTAGAATTTTGTACAAAATGTGAGCCAAAGTTACTTACCGCTTAGAAAAGTCACCATTAAATTAAATCTAACTTTGTAGACTTAGACTCATACAGGTCTAAAAACAAAACAAACTATCATTTATATTAGAGATGCAGAGACCCGATGTTAATATCCGCATTGGTGCCCGATCCGCAAGGGCAGATCTATTCAGTCTAGTTCTATGCTCTGTGCTCTAAACTTATTTTACATTATACTCAGAAATCCTAATTGCGTTTTCTGAACCATTTGAAAGAAGGTTTGTTTCAGTTTATTTTCTACATGTTTCACCAATGCAGTCAACCTGTTGTTTTTAATCGGTTTCAGTTCCCCTATTATTTAATTTACATTGGCTGTTATCCTCCTAACAGCACTGGTTGAACAAATTAAAGTTGCTTTTACGTGTTTGGTGTATTTATGTGTGCTGTACTGCATCACACAAATTTGTATTTCAGTATAATTACGTCTGTTTAAAAACAGACATGTTTTAAGTCAATTCAGCGCAGTTTTTTTCCCCTCGTCAGCCGATATTAAATCTCAGATATCAGTATCGGAAGTGAAGAAAATGGATCGGTGCATCCCTGATTTATTTAAATATTCTTGTTCTCCCAATAGTGTAGTTTTGGAGTCGACTTATCCTAGATTTGTGGAGTTAATTTACCTCAAAGGAAGTTTGGAATCGACCCTTCCCCTCTTTCTCTTTTCTTTTATTTACCAGTTTAGGATGTTATTTGTCTCAAGGTTTTGTCTCTCGCCCTCCAGACGATTTTTGCAGACATTCTAAAATCCCTACAGTTAAAAGGTAGTTTTGACGCAGAAGCTTTTCTAATTGACCCTGCGGCTTCGAAGCCGGAGGATGATTTGGAAAGCGCATCGGCCTGTGAAGCCCCGCAACTTTCCGACGAGGCTCTGAGGAAAGCGCATCGAGCTTCATCGGTCCGGTCTGATGGCTAATTTTCCATCTGCTGTGGCCCGAGGTCGAGTGCAGAGTGTGGGATGGCTGCGACGTGAAACAGGGTCAACTATGGATCCATCTGTGTCCAACCCCATTTGTGCGTGTATCTGTGTGCGCGAGTCTCACTGTGATCTTGGTGGCATTGTTCAGAACGCTGATCCATTCCACCAAATCCTGCTGGTCATTGGCCTGCAAGTAGAACTTCCTCATGCCTGCATTTATAACTGCGGAGAGATAAAAAAAAACAAACAAACAAACAAACAAACAAACAAAAAACAGAGGACGACATGTAAATGCTCCCGCTTATCACCAGACCCGATAAAAACGGAGACAAATCCGCTCTGCCGCATGGAGACCTAAAAATATCCGCTTGTTTCTGGTTTCTCAGAGCCAGAGAGGATGCACGTCTCGGAGTTAACATCCCATCTAGATGCAAACACATGCGCACATGTCCGCACACAACGGTTCGGTCATTGTCATTGCACGGTTTCCTCCTATTGAGTGACAAAGAGCTGCTGTTCCACGCGGCAGGAAAAACAAGTAGCGCGGGACAAAAGGGAGGAAGTAAACTCAAGAGATGAGGAAAAAGGGGGAGGGAGGGAGAGGAAGAGACGAAGGAGGGCGGAAGAAGTGGAGAGATGAGGAAGGAGGTAAGGGAGGAAACAAGGGACTGGAAGGGGAGTGGAGTGGAGGCAAAACTTCGGCACAAAGACGGAGCGAGTTCAGGGAGATAAACGGAGGGAGGAAACAACAAACTCACCAAAGCAGAACTCTGCCTTCGGCCTGAGCTTGGTAGCATCGCTGACCTGAAGACAAGAGGACAGTAAATGTCACAGAGGACACAAGAAAGCCTAAAAACCCTAAAAATCACCCAGTGGAACGCAACTAACCCCAAAGTTACTGAAAAATGACCCATAATCTGTTCTGGAGCCTGAGGCTTTCCCTGAAACATCTCCTCCTAAAACCAGCTTGGAATAACTACGGATTGCTTGGAAAATTCGACAACCTTTCTGTAACTTCTGGTTGTAGTGTGGCCAAAAAGACTGAAATTCTTGCTCTGGAAACACAGGTGATTTCTAAAAGATTTCCTTGTTTTCGGTAAAATAAAGATGCGACGCGTCGCCGTTTGAGCGAGGACTGACCTTGGAGATGTATGTGAGTTTGAGAAAGCCCACATTATCCGCACCTTTAGGCAGGTTCTGAAAGAAAAATGACACATTCAGGATGTGATCAAACTGATCCTGCTGAGTCGTAACAGGGCTCAGATTAGAAGGGACGAAATCGATAAAGAACAATTCAAGATTCCCGTCGTGCCTCGATATTTCTTCGTCTTTGTGTTTTGGTGTGAACACAGAGGGGGGGGAAAAACAAAAAAAAAAAATGCAGAAAAACAGCTACCTTTCCGATAACTGCTGAAGAAATTATTCAGATTTGTTATTTTAAGCCAATCATCTGAAAATTCTTTGAGTTTATTCTCGTGTATTTTCTGGTTAAGTTATATTTTCTCCTCCCTGCTGGAGGAAAACACTTTAATCCCACAAATCCGTGGTTTTCTATTAAAGAATTCCCCGATAGCAGGAGCTCAACCTCAGCGTCCCGCTGCTGAGCTTTTCATCATTTCCTGCCTGCGAGCGCCTTTGAACGCACAAGTCAGACCGCTCGGATGTGTGTTTGTTGCAGGTGCACGGCTAAAAAAAAAAAAAAAAAAAACCCCCCCCAAGAGGGACCCGCGGCCCGGGCCCCCCGGCGTTTTTTTCTTT